CAGCTCACAGTAACCTCTAACTCCTGGCTTAGGTGATTCTCTTGCCTCAGCCTCCTGAGTAGCTGGGACCACAGGTGCCTGCCACAATGCCTGGCAATTTTTTTTTTTTTTTTTTTGGTTGCAGTTTGGCTGGGGCTGGGCCTGAACCCGTCACCTTTGGTATATGGGGCTGGCACCCTACCCACTGAGCGACAAGGCTACCCTTTGTTTTTTTTTGGGACAGAGTCTCACAATGTTGCCTTCAGTAGAGCTCTATGGCATCACAGCTCACAGCAACCTCAAACTCTTGGGCTTAAGTGATTCTCTTGCCTCAGCCTCCCAAGTGGCTTGGACTACAGGCACCCATCACAATGCCCAGCTGTTTTTTGTTGCAGTTGTCATTGCTGGTTAGCTGGCCTGGGCCAGGTTCGAGCTCTCCAGCCTTGGTGTATGTGGCTTGCGCCATAACCACTGTGCTATGGATACAGAGTTGATATGTAAGTATTTTTTAAACATGTGAATTTATAATTAAAAAATTTTTATGAAGAAAATTCTAGATAAGAATAGCTTCATCTATGAATTCTTCCAAACTTTTAAGACAAAAAATAACATAAATCTTATAGAAACCTTTCCTAAGGATAAAGATCATGTTGTTTTATGATGCTAACATAATCTTAGTATCAAAACTGAACAAGAAAATTACAATAAAGCAGTATTATCTTTTAAACATTGTTGAAAACATAAATGTATTAAATACATCAATAAATAAAAATAATAATATTTTACTATCAAGTTGGTATTCTTCTAGGTGCTCTGCAATTACTGATTGTATTGACCTGAATTTAGAACAACTTTGTTAATGGCATTTGTGAAGTTTAAAAAAATGTACACGTATAAAAGCTATGAAATTAAATATAATTTTCAGTTTTGTACACCTCTAACGTTGTTCTAAGTAGTAGAAGTTCTCTGACAGTTTAATTGCTTGATTTGCTATTCTTAAACATTGTTTATTATAGGAATAATTTTTATTTTATTTTATTTTATTTTATTTTTTGAGACAGAGCCTCAAGCTGTCCCCCTGGATATAAAGCTCACAACAACCTCTAACTCCTGGGCTTAAGCGAGTCTCCTGCCTCAGCCTCCCAAGTAGCTGGGACCACAGGTGCCCACCATAATGCCCGGCTATTTTTTTTTGTTGCAGCCATCATTGTTGTTTGGTGGGCCCGGGCTGGATTCGAACATGCCACCTTAGGTGTATGTGGCTGGCGCCTTAGCCACTTGAGCCACAGGCGCTGAGCCGGAATAATTTTTCAATGTAGTTTTCACTAAAGATTTATTAAAAATGTAGATTGTATATAACTACTTTTTCAGTTTCTGAGAGACCTAAGTTACAGTTTCTATTTTGATATGCCTGTCTTTTGATTTGCTTCAAACATTATTTCAAGTTTTAAAATTACAAGATAGTGTTTGTGTTGGCCTTTTTATTGGTTAATGGATTATATCCAAGTTTTAAGCAGTATTTCTTCCTATAAGGAAGCTTTCAAAGAGGTGTTTTTTCTTTCCTTTAAAAAGTAAAGTTATTAAGAGTGGGCCATTTAAATTAACTGGAAACTGGCTCTGTACAGTGGTTAGGGCACTGGTCACATGCACCACGACTGACGGGTTCAAACCCGGCCTGGGCCTGCTAAACAACAATGACAACTACAACAACAACAAATAGCCGGGAGTTGTGGCAGGTGCCTGTAGTCCCAGCTACTTGAGAGGCTGAGGCAAGATAATCATTTTCCACATGTTTATTTTTAGAATATACAAATGCAGTGGACTTTTTGTGAGTTAGTCTTATATTCTGCAACTTTACTAAACTAATGTAATAATTCCTGGCATTCTTATGTATATTCCTTGGGATTTTCTAATAGGTAATCATGTCATCTGAAAATAGGGAGAATTTAATGTCTTCCTTTCATATATATGCATATACAAATATATATATATATTTTAGAACTGTCTCTAGAACATTAAGTACTACATTAAGTAGGTGTGGTGAGAGGAGTCTCATCTTGCCTTTTCAGACCTAGGGGAAAGTACTCAGGGTTGCCCTATTAAGTATGATGTTAGCTGTAGATTTTTGTGGATCTTCTTTATCAATGGGGTACGTTTTTCCTCTTTCATAGTTTAATGAGAGTTTTTATTGTGAGTGGAGATTTGATTTTGTGAAATACTTTTTTTGTATCTGATATGATCATATCATTTTTCTTGTTTAGCTTAGTGACAGTGGTGGATTATGTTTGTTGATTTTTGAATGGTGAACCAGCTTGCATACCTGAAATAAATTTTTTTGTCATGGTTTATAATTATTCTTATGCACTGTTACTATATTTGATATGCTGAAGATTTTTGCCCTTATGTTCACAAGAGATTTTATTTTAATTTTTTTGTTTATTTATTTTTTTAAAGAGATTTTAAACAGAGTTTTTTTAAAAGAGATTTTTAAAGAGAGTTTTTTTTAAAGAGATTTTTAAAGAGAGTTTTTTATTTTCTTGGAGACTGTCTTGTCTATTTCCCAGGCTATATAGAGTGCAGTGTCATCATAGTTCACTATACCCTCAAACTTACATGCTTAAGCCATCTTCCTGCCTCAGCCTCTCAAGTAGCTGGACTACAGGTTTTTATATTTTTTTTGTAGAGATGGGGTCTTGGTTTTGCTCAGGCTAGTCTCAAGCTCCTGGCCTCAAGCATTACTCTCCTCTTATCCTCCCAAAGTGTTAGGATTGCAGGCTACTGCACCTCACCCTGGTAATACTCCTTTTAAAAATATTTCAAATTATATATAAAATCAGCACACTGTACCTCATGACTGCATTAATGTACACAGCTATGATTTTATAAAAAAAAAACAATAAAAGTAAAAAAAATATGTAAATATATATGTATATATATACATTTATTTATATTTATAAAAAAACAATAAACAGTTAAAAAAATATATATCTTTAGTAAAATTTGCCAGAGAAACCATCTGGGTTTGGAGAGTTCTCTTTAGGAAGCTTTTAATTTTTATATCCACTTTCTTTACCAGTTACAGAGCTATTCAGATTGGTTTTTTTATATTGGTTGAGTTTGGTAGCTTGTGATTTTTGTGGAGTCAATCATTTATTACATGTTGTTGAACTTATTGTCATAAAGTTATTTGAAGTTATTCTTTCTCATACTTTTTATAGCCTTATGATCTGTAGTGATGTTCCTGATGTGATTTTTTTATCTTTGCCAGTCTTGGCAAACTCAAGAGAAGTATAGTTAATTATATTGATGGCCCTAGCTTAAGTGATTTTTCAACTTAATGATGGTGGGAAAGTGTTATGCATACAATAGAAACTGTACTTTTTAAGTACCATATGACCATACTCATAAAATTGAAATTGTTTTTCACTGTCAGTGCATTATTCAATAAATTACATGAGATAGTCAGTACTTTATTATATTAATTACATTAATAAAATAGGCTTTATAAAATACATTACATTATGAATTAATGTATTAATTACATTAATAAAATAGGCTTTATAAAATACACATACTAGGTAATTTTGTCCAAGTGTAGCTAATGTGTTTTGAGCATGTTTAAAATAGGCTCAGGTAAGCTATGATGCTTGGTAAGGCAGGTGTGTTAAATAAATTAGGAGCATGGATACCAGAACCTGTGTGCCTGGACTTGCATCTTGGCTTATCTTTACCAGGTATGTGATCTTAAGGCAAATTCCTTAACTTCTTTGTTTCAGTTTCCTCGTTGATAAAATGGGGATGTTAGTACTGATCTTCTAGGGTTGTGAAAATTTTGGAGTTATTATATGTATACATAAAGAGCTTAGAACAGAGTTTTCAGGTAATAGTCTATTTAAATTTTTATTATTACTGATTGATTATATAGCCTTAAGTCAGTTTTAGTCTGAATTACAATTTTGTCATTTGTAAAATAGTGATAATTATATGTATTAATATTTAAGTGTATATATAAAAATATATCTTGCACAATACCTACTGTCATGTTTCTGTATTTTTATATTTAATGGGAAATTAAATTGGACAATGTTTTTATACATAGGTTTCCAAATATTTTTATCATCTAAAGAAATCTTGATTTATTTTCCTTCTTTAAATGCATAGAACGGAAAGATGCTGAAGGATGGGAGACTGTTCAGAGAGGAAGGCCTGTTCGTTCTAGATCAACAGCTGTGATACCGAAGGTTTCATTAGCAGCTGAAGCCCTAAGGTCAAAGGATGACAGTGATAAAGAAAATGTGTGTGTTTTACCTGATAGCAGCATACAGAAAGGTGAATTTGTTGGAGATGGACCTTCTAATACTATAGAATCTCGTCCCAAAGACTCATTACACTCTTGTGACCATCCTCTTGCTGAAAGAACCCAGGTAGTACATTTGGAAAATTTACTGCCATTTTCAAAGGGATATGTGTGTGTTGGAATATTTTACTTTTCTATTTCATTTAAAACTTTTTACTGTAAAAAACTAATACTTGCCACATTTTTTTTCTTTTCTCACACCACATGTCACACATACATATGCTAATCATTTGAGAGTCATGTACAAACATTATAATCAGTCATTAAGTATTAGAGCATATATAAAGAACAAAGAAATTCTTTCCCCAACCACATCATAATTACAAAATTTAGGGAATTTTATATTTATAGAACATTATCTAATTTATAGTCTGTATTTAAAATTTTCGAGTTGTCCCATTAATTTCTTCATTGTTCCCCCCCCCCCAAAACACGATACACCCAGGATTACATAGTATATTTGGTTTCGTCTCTTCAATATGTTTCATTGGAGACAGTTCCTCAGCCTCATCTTTGTCTTTCATGACATCAGTAGTTTTGAATAATATATTGCAGGGTTTTTTTTGTACAATATTCTTTGTTTATAATTCAGTGTTTTTTATGCATTTTTGACAAGACTAAAGTAATCATCTTCAAGGTCACTTCTAAAGGCATGTATGAGGTTTGTAGTTAATCTTGATTACTTGCTTAAGGTGGTATCTTTCTGCTTCATTTAGAGTGTTGTTAAAATTGGCAATGGAATTTTGAGCTTATTCTTCTTTTACTTCAGGTAAACTGAGCGAGGACTATTTGCTAGTAGTTAATATAATTTTTTAAAGTTAATATTTCCAGTATTTTTTGTTTTAGTACAGTTGAAGTTTATTTTATTTATTTGAAGAATTAGCATATCATTTTGAATCAGTGTTTTTCAACTTTTTTTTATCTCAAGTCACACTTGAACCTATAGTTAAACTTCTATGGCACACTTATTATGTTGTTCAAAAATAAAAAGAGTTAAACAAGACTATACTTATTGTGCTTTGTAAGTCTTTTGAAAATAATTTAATTAATCTTTACAAATTTTCACAGTACACATAAGATTGTGCCGCAGCACACTGATTGAAAATCATTGCTTTAGATACTTGTTCATACAAAGGTTCATGTTCAGTTGGTATAATTTTATGTAACATGACTAATGAATTACAGGAGATAGTTTTTGGTATAGTATAAATGCTAAATAAATTGTGAAATAATTGCAATGTTTTCAGGCTGGAATAATATCTGCTTTTAAAAAATGTGTTTTTTTAAAATCTGTGGTATTCCCTCCAACTCCATAATGTTCCTCAATTTCTCCGTTGATGATAATGGCTCTAAATCCTACACTGTTCCAAATGTTCTAGAAATCTGTAATGTGTATTTTATACCCATCTGAGATTGCAAGCTCATTGTGGGAAGTATTTTATGTTGCTTTTAAATTTCCCACAATATTGAACAGACTTACAGGTACATAGGAAGTAATTAGTATATATTTGTTAAATGTAACTTTAAGAAAGTCTTTAATGTAAATAAGCCTCGTTAAAAATAGTGAAGAAATCATTTTTTATGTCACTCAACCATCTAGAATTTTTGCTGATTGTTTTAGCTAAAAATATAACTTAATATGGAAAGTGTCTGGATTTTGTATAGTGAATAAATTTATATGATATTGGAATTTCATATAATTAAACTATTACTAAAATATTTCAGGATAAAAGTTCACTGCTGGTGGTAGCCAAGCTGATGATAATATTTTTTTTTCTCTACTATCATTCTAAAAAATGGAATTAGCATATTTATGTCTTTTTTCTACATTACTTTATAGTTTTGCTTTGATTTTGTTATACAAACGATATTGAGTTTTTAATAAACAGGGTTGACTATATCATACACATTAGTAATGCTAATATAAATATTGCCAAGAAGATTATAAACCATGGTGACTGACATATACATAATGTTGATAGCAATATCAACAATGTGATACAATTTAAATAATGCTTATGCTAAAATCAACACTTCAGGACACTTTTAAGTTTCGACCAATGGCAAAATTTTTAAAGTAGTTTATAAGATGTGGCCAAGTTTAATATTTGTGTAAATAATCAAACTGGGGGTTTTATAGCCATTGCAGTGTTTATCTAATGTTTATTTAAGAAGTGATGTGAATTTTAAATTCATAATTTTAGATTTTCATTTTTTGACTTGAAGTATAATTGGAAAATGCAGCACCATTCTTTCCCTACTCTGTTAGTGAAAATAAAGGCTTGATTCTATTTACTAAATTAGAAAGTTTTTAATAAAATGAGTATTTTATTAAAATGGGTATGTTTAGCATAAGTCAGTGTGCTCTTAGATCTATACACTTAGTTACGCTTTTTTCTTTTAGGTCTGAGAATTGGTATCATATTAATCTTTATTGAAGATACTTTGAGATCATGTTAGTATTATCTGAAATTTTATATTTTTGAGTAAAATGCCCTCAAAATACATTTTGGTAAAAAATGATTTGAGGATGTTTTTGAAATTGCTGATTATCCTCATTTGATATTAAGCAGTCTTTGAAAAGATTATGTAAACACCTTTAGTTATATGAATATAATACAAATTATCATATTTGTGACTAGATTTCCTTTGTGAGGGGTATAAAATACTCATGAATTGGCCTGCTAAATGAAAATAGAATTACAGTAATATTGCTTAATTTCTTTTTTTTGAGACAGAGTCTCACTGTGTCACCCTCAGTAGAGTGCTATTGCATCACAGCTCACAGCAGCCTCAAACTCTTGGGCTCAAGTGATTCTGTTGCCTCAGCCCTTCAAGTAGCTGGGACTACCGGCGCCCATCAGCTCCGGTGTATGTGGCTGGCGCCCTAGCTGCTGAGCTACAGGTGCCGAGCTATATTGCTTAATTTCTTAAAGTACTTAAGACAATTCCTAGTGTCTAGTGAGCATGCAAATAAAATTTGTGCTGCTTTATGGTTTCTTTCCTTTTGTTATTCTTGAAACATACAAAAAAGATGAGTGAAATATCTGTTATCCAGTAGTTGGGAGTTTAATCAGAATTAGCTCTTGTATAGTGAAATAGCTAGTGAGTATTTTTAATTATCTTTGATTCTATAAATATGTTTTGTTAGTTTGCAGTGAGTACATTGGATGATGTCAAGAATTCTGGCACTAGTGATGACAATTCTGCGCCAACTTCTGAAATACTTGCTCTTCACATTGATACAGAGTGTGTTTCAATTACTCAGCAAGCCGTCCCACCTCCTATGCAAAGAAATGAAGACAAATTTCCAGTAGAGAAAGCAAGAATAGAAAATGAAATGGACCCTTCAGATATTTCAAATGTGAGTGCTGCTAACTTGGTAAGAACAACTTATCAGAATTCTGAGTAAATATATGTAAGAGACGTGAACTCCAATAGTAATAACTTCTGTTATTTCTTTATACTTTGCAAAGTGAAGTTTTCCATGTAACATCTAGTATTCTGAAAGATGGGAAATGGTGTCTGTTAGACTTAGTTTTAAAAACTTTCTTAACAGAATACTATGTATAACTACTGTCATTTGCTTGAAGTTAGTTTCTAAGTTGAGATTAATTTACTATCCCTGTTCCAGAGTCTCTAAAAATGCATTAATTTGTGATTATTTATAGGTTTATGCTTTTGGATGACTACTTATTTCTGCTCATCTCTTCCTATTGCTCATTTTAGTATTAAGGTACTTGACCTGGGATAATCCAGAATAGGTTGTGCTAGCTTTGTTTAAGTACCTTCCAAAGAAATAGGCACATTTAAAAATTGAGAAAAATTATTTAAACTTATTTTTAAAGTGATACAGTGATAAAGTAGACAGTGGTATTTTATAATATTTATAATTTTGTCTAAGACATCATGTGATATCATGCTGAAAGATACTATAAGTAGAAGGTATTAGGTGCAATTTGTACATCTCATGGAGGTAATAAAATTTGATATGGGTTAAGAGAAAATAAGAGTTATAGTAACTAAAAAAATAAATACTTAGTTTCGTTTACTAAGGTAGAACAACTTGTTCTTCATCTTGTATCTTTTAATAAACATTTTAAAAGATTGAACATAATTATGTTCAAATAAGTAATGAGTTTAGCGTGTGGGTAGAAATTGGTCGTATTTGTATTTTTTATTTTCGTATGTTAATATACATAATTATATACATATATTAAATTGTTTATTTTGCAATTCGATTCTGTTAAAAGAGGAAAATGATTCCATACTTAAATAGGCATGAAATCATGACTTAAGAATTCTTGCCTCAGCTCAGTGCCAGTTGCTCAATGAGTAGGGCCCTGGCCATATACACTGAGGCTGGTGGGTTCAAGCCTGGCCCAGGCCTGCTAAACAACGAGGACAACTGCAACAAAAAAATAGCCAGGCATTGTGGCAGGCACCTGTAGTCTCAGCTACTTGGGAGGCTGAGGCAAGAGAATCG